GCCAGACAATTGATTTTGAAGCCACTAATGAAACCTGTTTAAATATTCAACTCTCTAATCAAGATTTTCCCACAGTACATAAAAAATATTTCAGTTATAAACGTAATACCTTCTTAAAGACACTGTTTCATGCTGTTCACAAGTTTGTAAGATGTACTGTAGATTAAAGATGGTACAACTAGTTTGTGAGATTTCACATTTATTGACCACAGTAAAACAACTTTGTACAAGGTTCCAGTACAACTGCTTCATGAGAACTTTATAAATCAAAGAAGCAGTACATTTAACTGAAAATTTATTCATACTTTTCTTTTTGGGGGAACAGAAGGTTTACCTACTGAAGAAATAACTTAAGCAGAACTCCAAAACTTGTTTTTCATTATTATATAAAAACATCCCATTGAATGTTTAGTTTTAATAACAAACATTTAATCAAAACTGACATTAATTTTCTACCAAAAAAGTATTGATAAAATAACAACATGAAAAGGTTTTACATGACTTCAAAATTCTTGCATAAAATTAGTTGGATACAGAATACAATAAACTTTGTATTATGTTTTTAAGGTGAGATGTATATAAAAATAGATTCAGCTTACTTGATTATTAATACACAGAACTGCTGGGGGTAGTTTCAGGTTTGGAAAACTGTTTGTAGTAGAGCTGGAATAAAATTTGTAGACACAAAACTTTCTGTAAATTCATTTTAACTCAGGTTTAAATGCTAAGAAACCGATTCAATCAGTTTACGAGGAATATTCACAGCATACAAAGATAGCTAAATTTCACAAACAGCTCAGTAGAATACACAGTAAATTAGATAGTTTGATAGCCAACTCAGTTTTTCTTAGCAGATAGTATTTCGACAGCAATCTGGAAGAAACTGATGCTTCAGATCCCTAAGTCTTTGTGCAACAGTGCGTGATTTTTTTTACCTGGTAAACCTGCAATTACCAATTCTGTAACTGACTTTAACTATTCTATCAAGCTCGTCTCTTCCTTTTAACTAGTCCCTCCTTCTTCTTACCACGATGGTCCAAGTAATGAACAGCACTTAGTTTCTTCATACACTGAAACAACTGTCAAATACTCATTGAGTTTAGCACGACTATCTGCACACACACACAGAAATAACTTCTCCTAGTAGACATGCCCGAATCTGCAGCCATATCTTGATGAGGAATTATTTTCAGGCATGTCAAATGGTCCCGGGTAAAAGTGCTTAAGTTGCTAAGAACTCAGTTTTACAGGACTTCCTCAATTGTGACAGATGTTGGTGTTTTTCGTGGTACATAATTCTGTGAAGACTGGTAAAAGAGGTTTTCTGTGTCATCAACTTCTGTGATGATGGGCTGTGGACCCCTGTCCTCACCGTTTTTCTCTCCTTTACCATCTGATGGTACTGGCGTGATGGTAACACCACTTGGAAACACTGCCTGCGGTACACGGGCTCTACCCACCTGAGTGAATCTCCACTGGACCCCTGGATTATGAACAAATGTTGGAATGTTTCTGTTAGATGTGGGTTGTTGATTTCTAATGTTTGGGTTTTGAATCCGAACGTATGCCTGCTGTTGCTGGTGGATAAATGCACGATTTTGATGGGTAGCAGCAGAAGGATTTCTGAATTGGTTAGAATGGGCCTGTTGAGGTTGGTCTTGTTGACTCTGAAACAAAAAGTGTTAAGATCTTCTCAACAAAAAATTTCTCAGTACTCATTACACTAAACAGTTGAATAACCTACACGTTTACATGTAAACATTATAACGTTTCATCTTTAAACTGATATTAAACAGTTGAATAACATACAAGTTTACATGTAAACATTATAACGTTTCATCTTTAAACTGACACTAAATAGTTGAATAACATACAAGTTTACCTGTAAACATGGTAATGTACAGTCTTTAAACTGACACTAAATAGTTGAATAACATACAAGTTTACTTGTAAACATGGTAATGTTGCATCTTTAAACTGATACTAAACAGTTGAATAACATACAAGTTTACCTGTAAACATGGTAATGTACAGTCTTTAAACTGACACTAAATAGTTGAATAACATAAAAGTTTACATGTAAACATGGTAATGTTGCATCTTTAAACTGATATTAAACAGTTGAATAACCTACACGTTTACATGTAAACATGGTAATGTACAGTCTTTAAACTGACACTAAATAGTTGAATAACATACAAGTTTACTTGTAAACATGGTAATGTTGCATCTTTAAACTGATATTAAACAGTTGAATAACATACAAGTTTACATGTAAACATTATAACGTTTCATCTTTAAACTGACACTAAATAGTTGAATAACATACAAGTTTACTTGTAAACATGGTAATGTTGCATCTTTAAACTGATATTAAACAGTTGAATAACATACAAGTTTACATGTAAACATGGTAATGTACTGTCTTCAAACTGACACTAAATAGTTGAATAACATACAAGGTTACATGTAAACATTATAACGTTTCATCTTTAAACTGATACTAAACAGTTGAATAACATACAAGGTTACAATTAAACATTATAACGTTTCATCTTTAAACTGATACTAAACAGTTGAATAACATACAAGTTTACAATTAAACATTATAACGTTTCATCTTTAAACTGATACTAAGACAGTTGAATAACATACAAGTTTACATGTAAACATTATAACGTTTCATCTTTAAACTGATACTAAACAGTTGAATAACATACAAGTTTACATGTAAACATGGTAATGTACAGTCTTTAAACTGATACTAAACAGTTGAATAACATACAAGTTTACCTGTAAACATGGTAATGTACAGTCTTTAAACTGACACTAAATAGTTGAATAACATACAAGTTTACATGTAAACATTATAATGTACAGTCTTTAAACTCACACTTCACAGCTGTACATAGTCTTGTTGTGTCCTTAATAATTATCATACAAAGTATTTTGTCAAGTTTTTCAAACTCTGCAGGTACAAGATTTTTCCTACAAAATTATAATAAGTTTACAATCTTCACAATTTGCATTAAAACCAAATCACTCGTACAATTAAAAAAAACAGAGGCTTATCGTACCTGCCAGTAACGTTCATACATAGCAAAGGATTGAATTCTTCTGCTGATTCGATTGATGGCATCTGTTAAGCCTGGAGGGATTAGTTGTTTGTTTGCGATGTACTAAAATAGACACAACTGTCAGTAAGCTTAAATATTCCACTTGTCTTGTTGAACTTACATCACTTCTTGCTATTACATTATTAACAAAATTCTTCACCTTTTTGGTTACCAATCTTATGATAAAACAATTCATTTAATTTACCTTATAAATTATCAATAAAATCAGAATAATGTTGTATCTTGTTCATTGTAACCTCTTTTAAATCTCACACAACTTGTTTCAATATTTTAACACCAGTTGTTAAATGACGCTACTTTAAAGCAAAATTTTTGTATACATTTCATTATCTTCTTTCTTCACAAAAACATAGTTTATACACACACACGTCTGTGATTTATTCAAACACTGCCTGAATTAAACATACTAGTAAAGAAGCAGGTTTCTAGATGCTTAGATTAACACTAACAGGAAGCAGCTGATAATGATAAAAACATTGATTTTGTTTACCCTACAAAATAGTGAAAACGTAATAACATTTCCCACATATTTCAGTTTACAGTTTCATAAAATGATAAAAATTACAGTCTTCAAATTTAGAATTAATATATATATACAAACTAATCTTCTAAGTTAATCTCACCCCCTTCTTCCAATAATAAAACACCTAAAAAATAACACCTGCTGCTTATCACCCCTTCTTCCAATAATGAAACACCTAAAAATAACACCTGCTGCTTATCCCCTTCTTCCAATAATGAAACACCTAAAAATAACACCTGCTGCTTATCACCCCTTCTTCCAATAATAAAACACCTAAAAATAACACCTGCTGCTTATCTCCCCTTCTTCCAATAATAAAACACCTAAAAATAACACCTGCTGCTTATCACCCCCTTCTTCCAATAATGAAACACCTAAAAAATAACACCTGCTGCTTATCCCCCTTCTTCCAATAATGAAACACCTAAAAAATAACACCTGC